AGGTGATCCAACAGAATGTGGAAATTATTGAATGTGGAATTATTGAGTTAGTATCACATGCAAGCAAAAGATTGCTGAAGATCGTCCAAAAATGGCTAGAACAGTTAATTGACAGAGAATTGCCAGACGTTCAGGCTGGGTTCAGAAGAGGGCATGACACCAATGTTATATCATTGCTTATGTCAGATGGATCCTAGCTGAAAGCAAGGAATAACAGAAGAATGTCTGTGTTTTGTTGACTATGCAAATGTATTTGACAGTGTGGTTCATAACAAGCTATGGTAAACTATGGTTAAGATTGAGAAGAATGGGAATTCCAAAACATGTAAGTATCCTTATAAAAAAGCTGTACCAAGATCAAGAAGCTGTTGTTCAAACAGTGCAAAGGAACATTGTTGTTGTTAGGTGCCATCTAGTTGAGTACAACTCATAGTGACCCTATGAACCCTGTTCTATCCTGTGCCATCCTCACACTTCCTGACAATCAATCAGTGTGGCAGTCACCACATCAGTCTACCTGGTCGAGGGTCTTCCTTTCCTTCGCTGACCCTCCCCCATTCCCAGCATCATGTCTCTCTCCAAGGAATAGACCCTCCTAGCAACATGCCCAGATATGTGAGGTGATGCCTCATCATTCTTGTCTCCAAGGAGCACTCTGGCTGCACCTTTTCCAAGACATATTTCTTTGTTCTTTTGGCCGTCCATGGGGTGTTCAGCAAAGGAACAGAGCACGGTTTATAATTAAGAAAGGTATGTGTCAGGGCTGTTTCGTTTCTCCGTACCACCTTTTCAGTTTGTAGGGAACTCTGGCTAGTTGTTGTTGTTGTCCTGTGCCATCAGATCAGAATTGGCCCATTAACCGACCCTCCTGAAAAGCAGATTTTCAGAAGCAATTTATCACAGGAGAGGAGACTGCCCATCCTTCTCCTGTGGAGCAGCTGGTGGATTTGAACCATATAACTTTGGATTGCCAGTGTAACTCCTTACCATTGTGCTGGAGAAAAGACTGAAATTGTGAACAATTTAATCTTATTTGGTTCCACAATCAACACCTTTGGTACCAGCAGTTAGGAGATTAGGAGATGTATAGCATTGGGAAAGTCAGCTGCCAAGAACCTCTCCAAAATCCTGAAGAACAATGATGTCAGTTTAAAGACCAAGATGCACTTGAGTAAAAGAATGATTTTTCGAATACCTGCTATGCAATGAATAAGTATATCCCATGGACTATCAATAGAGCAGACAGTTGTGTTTTGGAGAAGGTGCTACCAGAGTGCTCCTTGGAGGCAGGGATGGCAATATTTTGTCTCACATGCTTGGTAAGGTGAAGTATCAGTGAAGGAGAGGGAGACCCTAAGTGAGATGGACTGATGGAGTGACCATGGCAATGGACTCAAGTGTGTCAGGGGTGATAAGGATAGGACAGGGTTCAGATCTGTTCTTATAGGGTCACTATGATTCATATGTGACTTGATAGCACCTAAAAATAACAAACAACAACAATATCACAATTCTGTGTTCAACTTTTATAGGTACTGTCAAACTGTTTTCCACATTGATGAATGACACCATTTAATATTCCAATGTAGCCAACACTGTACATATGTTTCAATTTCTACATACTCTCCTCACTACTTGTTATTTTATTATCATAGCCATCTTAATGAGTGTGAAGTGGGTTCTTACTTCGGTTTTAATCTGTATTTCCCTGATGACTACCATAATTCTGCACAAAGAATTCACACCTTCTATTTTGCCAACCACTCCCTGCCTCCGGGAAGTTTTTTGTGAATGTGCTATGCATTTTTTTAAAACAGAAACATGTTTTTAAAATGAGCACAGTAGCTTTGAAGAAAATACTAAAGGAATCAGGAGGGAGCAGTTGACAAACATAAAAGGTGTAAGTTATTTGCATAAAATATAATGATATTGGTCATGTTTTCTCATGGTTTTTGGGTTGGGTTGTCTTTTATTCCCCATTTTGGTACCTTCCTTTGAGAAATATCTCTTTACACCCTTTACTCATTTTTAATTGTATTGTTTGTCCTTCTGTTGTTGAGTTGTAAGTGTTCTTATTATTTCTTTCCTTCTGTTTTCTTTGAGTTTAATCTGCTTTTTTTAAAGCTTCTTAAAGTGGAAAGTTAGGCTGTTGATCTAAGATCTTTTTTGGGAATAGACATTTACAGCTGTGAAGTTTTCCTCTATGTACTCTTTTAGCTGCACCTGTAAGGTTTGTGTTTTTTTTAATTATCATTAAATTTTATTAGTTTTAATGAACATTTGCAGAGATTTTGGGTTTTCATTCATTCATTGTTGCACTGTTTTCTCTACCCTCCTCCCCAGTTCGTGCACCTGTAAGTTTTTGTCCGTTATGTTTTCCTTTTCACCAATCTAAAAAAAAGCCCCATTTTCTAATTTCCTTTTTATCTTTGGAGTTTCAGTTGGGAGGTAACATTTCTGTCCCTCCAGGTTCCTGGAATTACATGCTCGAGGAACATTCAGTCTCTCATTGCCGTAGAGTCGGAGCTCCGTCATAGCTGACCCTGCAGTGGGTTTTCAGAAGCTGTAAATCACATGGGACGTGATTGTCCATATTTCTGTCTCAGAGCCTCTGGTGGTTTTGAACTGCCAGAGACGCGCCACTTTGGGGTTAACAACGCTATTCCCTGTGGATTACACTACCAGAGCCCCCCTTTTGAGGAATAGAGGAACTGAAAGTAGCCATCAATGGTTGGGGAACAATGAGCCACAATGTAACCCTTAACTTTTTAAATTTTAATGAACCTTTACAGAGACTTTGGATTTCCATTCTTTCATTTTTCTCCAACACCCGCCCCCCCAGTTCACTCCTCTCTTTGAAAAGTAAAAGAAAAATTCTTTCATTGGTGTATAATCCCACCCCACCCCAGTACACTGCACTATGCAACCTTCATTCTGGAATCTTGTCATAACCATAATACTCAATCATATATCGCTTTTAAACAGTTCATAACCCTTAACCTTTGAAGCCACTCACTGACCTACGTCCTTCTAAACCTGTGGTTCTCACTCAGGAATGACTTTTCCCTCTGGGTGAATTTGACAATGCCTGGAAACATTTTCAGTTATCAAAATTGGGATAAGGTGTGACTGTCATCTAGCAAGTCTGGAGACCAGGGATGATGATTATCACCTGACAGTGTACAGGGAAGCGCCTAACAACAAAGAACCACCTGGCCTGAAATACGTGTGGTTTTGCCACCAAGAAGCCTGCTTTTAACCTTTGACATCAGTGACACTTTTCTGTTCACCCTTCACCTTCCTGTACAGTGTCTCATTCCTTCACAATGGGCCCTGAGGTAGGTGATAAGGTCACAATCTGAGGTGAGGTGGACAAGCTTAAAAAGGTGCAGCTGCCTCCTATCAGTCGGCAGCAGAGTCAAGAAGACATCCACCTCCCAGCTCTCCTGTTTCCCAGCGAGCCCGCGGTAGCTGGGCCTTCCACTTGCTCTGACCATCCCATCCTGCCAAAGCAGACCACCATGCACTGTCTTGTGAGTAGATGACCAGCATCTTGGCGGGCTGTTTGCTAAGTGGGCGAGTGGGCTTCTCTTAGCTCAGAAGGCTTCATGTTGCCTTTTGATCCCCTTTTTAAAAAATTTTTTGATCCCTTTTTAATGAATTCCTCTTCAATTAAAGTGGAGAAAGATCTTCATGGGCAGCTGTGATTGGCACAGAGTAGGTGCTCAGTCATTTTGTTGTTGTTGTTGAAGGGATGGGAAGAAATGAAAGGAATTGGAGCAATATACTAACTTGATCATCTCTGGGAGCTTGGAATGGAGGCTGTACCTGCCTACAGAAGAAACTGGGGAATGGGGAGAGATGCCAGGACTGGAGGGGAAAGTGAATCTGTGAACCCATACATTTGTTCTGTTACCTGTAGCATTTACATTCTGTTGCCTTTAATGATCGTGAAAAATTTTATTTCTTATTAACTCCTTGCCTCCTAGCTTCCTTTTAATTCTTTTATTCTTATTTAGCTGGATAAGTATTATTTCCCTTGTAAAATTTATCATATCTCATCCTCTTCATCTTTTACCCTAATTAAAAAAAGAAATCCATTTTAACTTTGCTTAAAATACATAGTCCTGGGATTTTGTTCTCTATAGGTCTCATTAAAAACATGAATTATGACATAGTCCATAGGGAGTTGCACTGCTCACCCAAAGGTTAACCCTCTCTGGTGGTTCGAATCCACTGGTGGCTCTGCTGGAGGAAGATAGGCCATGTCTTCCTATGCAATTTCCAGTCTCTGAAAATCCACTGGAAGGTCAGCTGTGAGTCGGTTCCAACTTGATGGCAATAAGTAGTGGTAGTGTATCTGAAGGTAGTTGGTCTTAATTTTGACATCCATAAAATATTGTTTGTTGTTATGTGCAGCCAGGTTGGAACTGACCAATAGCTGACCTTCCAGTAGGTTTGCAGAGGTAGTTGACCTCATGGGAGAAGTTTGTTTATTTTTCTCCCACAGAGGAGCTGGTGGATTTAAACTGCGTGCCTTTGGGATCACAGTGCAGCTTCTTACCACTAGGCCACCAGTCCACCAGTGCTTCCTCTCCAAAAAATATGACTCATATTTTCTGGCTTCCCTATCTGAGACTTTTTTTTTTGGGAGGAGAAAGTAATTTCAGGCTCATGTAAGCACTTTGAGTAAATACTGTGGCAATGAACCTTCAGTTAGCATCTATGTCTGAAAAACTGTATCTGTGTGATTTATGCAGTAATAACCTATTCCATGTGAGTATTGAAAGTTTGCTAGCTTGAGACAAAGGGCTTTGAGATTTTGTGTTTCTTATTTCCAGGGCTATAGCCTAAGTAAAAAAAAAAAGACATCTTTTACTAGTAACTTGGTTAAATGAAGGAAAGCAAACACACACGTATACACAGTTTAGAAGCAAAAGCTATATTGTTTATTGAATGCTCCTGACAGTAACAATAACTTGGCTCTTGTTTTTCTATAGGTGTTACAGAACATCTTGGACACCGAAAAAGAGTATGCTAAAGAACTCCAGTCTCTTCTTGTTACTTACTTAAGACCCCTGCAGTCCAATAACAAGTAAGATTTCTATTTCAAACCCTTTGCTAAAAAAAGCAAGATGATGCCAGTATATGGAGCCATCACTGTTATGTTGCTGAATAATTGATTTTGCCCTTTAGTAAAATTTCCAGAGAGCACAGGTTGCCAAGAACACAGTCAGGACCACAGAGATTCTGCAAGATACTGCTTTGGGAGAGCTCTCCGGGAGGGGTGGCGAATCAGCCTCTCTGCCTGGTACAGTTTTAATCTTTTCCAGTTTTAAAACGATGTGTTTGGTTTTACCTTACCAAAAAAGGACATGTTGGTGCTCTCATTCCCAAAGCACATAAACTGGGAATTGTTTTGCTGACTTTGACCTTTGCTCACCAGAATAGAATTTCTCTCATGCTCTGAAATTTTACATGTATTAAGAAGAGCAGTTAAAGGCAGTCTTTTACGCAAAGGCCAAGGGAAAAAATGATGGTTCAGCTGTGATGATGTGTGGTATTTTTTTTAAAAAAAACACAACCCCAAAATATCCAAATCTATCCTAGGGACCTCTTGGGGCCTAGTGGTAAGAAGCTATGATGCAATCCCAAAGGTTGCAAGTTTGAATCCACTAGCTATTCCACAGGAAGATGGTCAGTCTCCTCACGTATAATTAAAACCCACCGCAGGGTCAGCGATGAGTTGGTTCTGACTCAATGACACACAACATCCTAGTCCTTGGAATCTCCATTGATTGTCCAAGGCCTGAATTGAAAACTTTATCTTCAGGAAATGAAAGTATTGATCATTGGTTTTGTGCATATATATGCTCATAAGTGCAGCCTAGTTTACAAATCGTTGCTAACTACATTTTATAAAATGAGGCTTCACTGGAGACTTGGCCTAGAAGCTCTGATGGAGCAGTCCGCCATGCCACACTGCAAACTAAAAGGCCACGCGTCTCCAGAAGTTTCCATCTATCAGCAGCTATATGGGAGAGATGGGGAATCTCATCCCATTGAGGTTTACAGCCTGGGAAACCTCCCTGAGGGTCACGCTGAGTCTGCATATCCCTTCTTTATTTTTCCCCCCTAGAGGTAACAGGGAGGGGAGAAGGAAAGGTACCTTGAAGTGGGAGATGGCGAGATTTCCAACGGCGAGGTGCTTCGTGAGCCACCATAGAAGCAGCAAGGAGAAAGGAAAGGCAGAGCCCCAGACAGCAGAAGTCAGAGCCCTCAGTCAGCCCTACCTTCTTCCTAAACCTGTTCTGAATGCTGTGACTGAATATTTCCTCCAGTTTTGACTCCCATACAGGCTCCAAAGTGATTTGAACAACCAGAACTTCTGGTTATTGAACAACTTTGAACTGTTTATTATCTCATCCCCTAAAGGCCAAATAAGCCCCTGTCAGGTTCTTGTTGCTTTGAGGAAACACCCGCCAGAGAAGCGGGCTGGCTGCAAGTTTCGCTTTTGACACCCAGTGTAGGGTTTTTCCAGCTTGTGGTTCAGGAGGGCATTCTAGCAGAGGAACTGGGAGTTTTTCACATTCTAGAGCTTACTGGTAATGCGGACTTGGGTCTTCCCTTTCTTTAGTACGATGAAAGGTACTCTGTTGGAATGACTCCTTTGTTTTATGATATCATTAAAGAGCAAGTGCATATGGCAGACATTGGTCTTTTAAGCAAACCTTTGGAAAATTTCCTCTATTAATCAGCAAGTAGGGGAGCTCTGGAGGCCTAGAGGTAAGAAGCTGTGCTGCAATCGCAAAGGCACGTGATTTCAATCAACCAGGTGCTTCTCAGGAGATAGACATTCTTTTTCTGTGAGCTTGGTCAGCTATGAGTTATTTTCCTGTACCTCTGGTCACCTGTGAGTTGGTTCCAACTCAAGGGAATTCAACACCACCCCCACCCCCAACAACAATCAGAAAGTGGTTAAGAGAGAACATGGACTCAAACTGGCCTGTTTCTGTTAAAATCCCGCCTCTGCCATTCCCTAGCTCTGTGATTTTGGGTGATTTGCTTGCCATTTCTAAGCTTGAGTTTCTGGTCCTGTAATAGGGAGATAGTGGTGGTAGCCACCTCATAAAGTTGCTGTGAAATGACAATGAGTTTTTATTGGTAAAGCACTTGTGTCAGTACAAGCCCTAGGAGTGGTGGATCTTGTTATTATCGTTTGCTGTTTGGCAGCGAAGGGATGACTGAGCACAGTCTCAGGAAAGGGTCCCTGGAGAAAAGGGTTCCGTTTGCTTTGATTTGACTTCACTCCAAACCAAACAAAATTAGTCCATTTTTTTGGTGTGTCCTCCTGCTTCCTCTCTTAGTGATTTATTAGCATTCTAGTTTAGGAGAAATGGGATTTTTAGAATACCTCGCCCCTCCCCCAGTTACTCAGCTTTCAAAGGAGCCCTGGTGGCATAGTTTGTAATGTGCTGGCTTGTGCTCAGTGAATGGTGAGTGGTTTGAATCTACTAGGCACTCCTTGGGGGAAAGATGGGAAGTCTCCTCCTATGAAGATTTACAGTCTCAGAAGCCCCCTGGGAGGTGGCTGTGGGTCAGCTTGACTCAATGGCGGTGAGCTGTTTTTGGTACCCAGTTATCAAAAGCTTTTCTACTTAGTTCTCACGGGTGGTTTATCTAGTAATATGCTAGGGAGCTCTGGTGACCCAGTGGGTTGAAAGTTGTGCACCTAACCCAAAAGTGACAGCTCTCTCATCAGTTTGAATCCACCCACAGGAGAAAGACAGGTGGTTTCCTTCCTTACAATTCAGAGCCCCTGAAAACCCACTGGAGGGTCAGCTATGAGTTGGTTCCAAGGGGAGGACAATGAAAAAGGGAGAGATTTAGACAGATATTAAGCACTTGCTATTCATGGGCTGCCAAAAGAACAATCAAGTCTATCTTGGAGGAAGTGCAAACAAGATGCTCTTTAGTGACAAGGGTAGTGTCGCTTTGCCCTGCATACTTTGGCCATGTTGTCAGGAGGGGCCAGTCATTGGAGAAGGACGTCATGCTGGGAAAGGTAGAGAGTCAAAGAAAGAGAGGAAGACCCCCAACAAGACAGATTGGCACAGTGACTGTAGCAATGAGCTCAAGTGTATCAGAGCTGATGAGGATGGCACAGGACAGAGCAAGGTTCAGATCTGTTGTTCTAGGGTCGCTATGAGTTGCAGTTGACTCGATGGCACTTCACAACAACAATTCATTAAGTCAGATGGCTGGATGGCAAAAACCTAAAGATTGGTGGTTCAGGTTACCCAGTGGAATGGAGGAAAGGCCTGCTGGTCTGCTTCCAGAAAGATAACTCTCTGAGCGGTTCACCTCTGTAACACCAGAGGGGGTCACAAGTCAGAACTGACTCAGTGGCAACAACCTTTGGTTTGGCATTCACTTTAAAACTCAAGTTCAAACCCATTGCCATTGAGTCAGAATGGACTCATAGCTGACTCCCTAGCAGATTTCTGAGGCTGTTAATTGCATGTGAGGTGATAGTCCATCTTTCTCCTGAGGAGTTACTGATGAATTCAAACTGCCAGAGAAGTGCTACCTTTGGTTTTAGAAGCACAACTCACTCGGCCAGCAGAGCTCCCTGGCATTCTTTTAGTCATTGCTTTATAAAACATCTAGAGATCCCTTTTCATCTTTATTTTAGAATCATTAGTCTTATTATTAACCTTTGGTATGGGTTACATCTCAAGGTCAGGAAAACCAAGATTCTTACCACTGGACCAATAGGCAGCGTCATGACGGATGGAGAGGAGATTGAAGCTGTCAACAGCTTCATCTTGCTTGGATCTACAGTTAACACTCTTGGTACCAGCAGTCAGGAAATCAGGAGACACATTGTACTGGGAAAATCTGTAGTTAGGGACATCTCCAAATTATTGAGGAGTAGTGATGACAGTTTGAGGACTAAGGTGTATCTGATTCAGGCCATAGTCTTTCCAATCACTTGCTATGCATCTAGAGCTGCACAATGGATAAGGATGACAGAAAAGGAATTGACGCCTTTGAGCTGTGGTGTTGGAGAAGAGCACTTAACATCCTATGGACGGCCAAGAGAACAAACAGATATGTCTTGGTGTAGCCAGAGTGCTCTTTGGAGGCAAAGATGACGAGGCTTTACCTCACATACTTTGGGCATGTTGCTAGGAGGTGGAGAGGGAGATGATGTTGGAATGTTGATATTCATTGGCAGGGGGGATGATATTGGGAAGGGTGGAGGGTCAGCAAAGGAGAGGAAGACTCTCAACCAGGTGGACTGACATGGTGACTGCTGCAATGGACTCTTGTGTGTCGAGAAGTGTGAGGATGGTTCAGGATAGAACAGGGTTTAGATCTTTTGTTCTCAGGGTCACTATGAGTTGTGCTCTACTTGACGACACCTAACAACAACAGTCTTATTATAGGAAAAAATTAAAAAAAAGAAGTAGTTGAAGAAAGTTGACCAAGACAAAAAAAGTAGATTATAATGAAAAAGCAAATATTAAAATTTAGGGATTGTTTTCCTTTTCCATTTGCCAGCTGTTAGCCAACTCTCAGCTAGCCAGACTAGAGATAGGGAGAGAACTATGTTCACTGAAATGTGATGTCTTTTTTCCAGTCTTAGTACTGTGGAATTTACATCTTTACTGGGAAACTTTGAAGAAATATGCACATTTCAACAGACCCTCTGCCAAGCCTTGGAAGAATGTTCCAAGTAAGTGCCACTCATTGCCAGCAGGATAGCCAGCAACACTGTCTTTGTTTCCTTCTTAACTGTTGTCTTAGATAAGGACACTTAATATGTATGTATTTGATATGAGATTGCTAGATTGTTCTAGAACAAAGTCATAGTGCAGAGAAAATACACTAGGTGGTGTTAGCAGTGCCTTAACATATCAGTTATACATCCATTAATTTAAAAAATATATTTAATTTATTATTATTACTGTTAATTTTAAAGAACGTTTACAGAGACTTTGGATTTCCATTCTTTCATTGTTGTACTTTTCTCCCTGCCCCACCTCCCCCACCCCCAGTTCACTCTTCTCTTTGAAAAGTAAAAGAAAAATTCTTTTATTGTTATACAGTCCCTCCCCCCAAGTCCACTCCATTATGCAGCCTTCGTTCTGGACTCCTGTCATGACAATAATACCTAATCATATCTATCTGCTAACTGGTGGTTAATATATAATGGAGGCTGCCTTTGACATTGGTTAGATATTTTGTTTGGTACATTGCAAGTTACTGAGAAAAGTCATCCAGATTATTCTGTTTCATAATCTTGGTCTTTTCTGATTAATCTTGTCTATTATATCTATTATATTCATAGCTAGAAACACACAGAAAGTGGGAGAAAGGACAGTAAATGTCTTTATGTCAACTACAACGCATCTTTGATCACCAGGTAGATTGTCGAGCTGTGCACATACATCCTGTGGAGCCACCTATTAGGACAATCAGATGGTGTATTTCTATTTCATCCTGGAGAGGGAACTCTGGTGGCTCAGTGGGTAAGGAGTTGTGCTGCCAACCCAACAGCACACCGTTGAAATCCCCTCAGCAGCTCAGAGGGAGAAAGTTGGGCAGTCACCTCCCACGTGATTTATGTAGCCTCTGAAAACTTGCTGGAGGGTCAGTAATGAGTCAGTTTTGACTCGACAATACCTAACAACATCATCTTGGGGAAGTTGACTACTTTCACTGTCTATGGAAAAATGGAAGTGCTGACCTGTTTCCTGAGCTTTGAAGGTTACTAGGTGGATGTCCAGGCAGGCACGTAGATGAGAGCTGAGGAGCCATTTCAAATGCTCTAGAAGGAGATCAAACGAGAAAGGCGGCTTACAAGTGAAATTCTATGTCCATAGGCAAATATATAGGAATAAAAAAAGCCCAAAGAATATGCAATAATTGTTATGAAAGATATCTCTGAATGATAGGGTTCTGAATGACATCTTTTTTTGGCAATGAAAATGAGTCACTTTTAATAATAATAACATTAAAGTTTCAGGACTGTCTTTCCCTGAAGCCACCAAGCCATCAAGCCTGTGCAACACTCACTGTGACATGCTGTTTTTCAAATCTGACTAGTTTTGTCTATTACTTGGATTTCATATACACTAGTCAAGAATGTTTTCAGTGTACATACGTGAATATAAAAATCATAAAACAGAAAACTCTACTTATTAAGTAAAAAAAGAATCTGACCCTACCTGTTATGACTTTTTTTAGTGATTAGAGTTTAAAGCAATGTTCAAAAACTTGTATTTTGTTGATAAAACATTTATTTATAGCATCTCTTTAGTTTGGTTAAAAAAATGTTAGAAACAATATGCTGTGAAGTTCAAGTAGAATGTCGTCTTTTACTTTCTGCTTCTTGTTTTACATTGTGTCTTTCACTTACAGGCTTCCGGAAAACCAACACAAAATTGGAGGATGTCTCCTGAACCTCATGTCTCATTTCAAATCCATGTATCTGGCTTACTGTGCAAATCATCCTTCAGCAGTAAATGTGCTCACCCAGCACAGGTAATTGTTAACTTTCCCTCTCTGCTACCTTTTCCTTTCCTAGGACCACCTCATTCAGAAGTTCAAGGTCTCCAGTTGAGATCTGCCCACTCTCCTACACTGGTGACTTCTAAGTTTATTTCCACTTGTATGTTAACGTGAGGCAGACAGTTAGGGGGGTGTCAGGAAAGCTTGTGTGTGATTGGACAATAAAGAGTGGGGTTCTCCAGACTTCTTCTTTTTTTTAAATACATAAAAAGAATTGACTACTTTTCCACTTACAGCACCTGGCCTAGTCTATGGATCAGGGCAGGGATGACTGACACTTGATCCCTCAGGAATCTTCGGTGGTCATGTGGGCTATCAGCCTGTTTCTTCCTGGAGCCCTGAGCCAGGTCACAAGTTATCACGTTGCTGGATCCCTGAGGTCATTCTGAAAGCTCTGAGGACACCAACACAGTGACTCAATGGCAGCGAGAGAATTATGGATAATTAGTTTATATCATATTGTTTGTAACTTTTAAGTAATATTTGATAAACTGTCTATGCCCTAAATTAGGGCTCTTAAATTTGTGCCTATCTTTTTAACCAATCATCTTTATAATTTTAGGTTTTATATTTCAACCTCTGAGCTATCTTGAGTTAGTTTTTGTATATTGTATGAAGTATGTATCCTGTTTAACTTTTCTGCAAATGGATCTTTGTCGCCAGCACCATTTATTGGAGCAAATATATCTTCTCCATTTAATGGATTTCAGGCCTTTATTCAGTCTATAGGTGATTAGATTGGCATCAATTCTATCCTGTTGGTCTGCGTGCCCCCTGTGGTGCCAGTCCCAGGCTGTTTTGAATACCGTGTTTGTTATAGTAGGTTCTGAGAATGAGAAGTCACCTACTTTGGTCTTTGTCAGTATTGCTTTGCTTACCAATGATGATCTCTTTCCTTTCCCTATAACATTATTGATTAATATTTTCATCTTTTGAAAGAGTGTTGAAAGAATCCGGATTGTGATTGCATTATACTTACAGATCATGTTGGGCAGTGTTGAAGTTTTAATAATGTTAAGTCTTCCTATCTGTGGGTGTAGTATGTTCTCCCATATATGTAGGTCTCTTTTGCTTCCATGCAGTAGTGTTTGTAATTTTCTTTGAGTATGTCTTTTCTACCCTTGATTAGATTTACTCCTGAGTATTTAATCTTTTAGATGTGTTAGGAGGTTTTTGATCACTGATTCAATCGCTTCACTGGTTACATGCATATGGAGACTTCTGTTTCCTCTTGAGCCAGTTTAGGGAGGTGTGGAGATCTTCCATTTCATCTAGGTTACCCAATTTGTTGTTGTACAGTTCTAATATTCTGTCATAATTATCTTTGTTTCTACTGGGTCACTTATAATATCCACCCATTTCTTATTTTGATCATTTGCATCTTTCCCCCACCCTTTTGCTTTTCAATTTTTAAAAAGAACCTACCTCTGGTTTTATGAGACCCTCTATTGCCTTTCTGTCTTCAGTTTTATTTTTTTCTGTCAGTCTGTCCACCAGTGGACACCAGCATTCAAGTAGATATCTTGTACTAACTGATTTGTACAATCCTCCATCCCCAGTTATAGTTGGAAAATCCACAGCTGGTGAGCCCTCATTAGGCATGGCATTTCCCTTCTGATTTTGTCCAAGGTTTCCTTCCTTGCTTCATGGAGGCTCCTTATATCTGAGTTGGTGTTCAGGGAAAGCACAGGCAGATTTTCCTCCATTTCAGGAAGAGGAGGGACTGACACTCTGACACTCCATAGATGTCTAGTTAATTTCAGAAGGCCTTAGATTTCTCAATTCTTACAATGGGGCTAGAATATCTATCTATCTCTATCTCTATATCTATATATCTGTGTGTGTACATATAAATACATACTTACACCTATATGTTCACATATACATCCATATCACATACGTCAGGCATATTGTAAGGCATTAATCCTTGAAGAAGGACATCATATTTGGAAAAGGCAAGGGTCAGCAAAAGAAAGAAAGACCCTCAACAAATGGATTGACATAGTAACTGTAACAATGGGCTTTAAGTATATCAGAGATGATGAAGATGGCAAGGTTCAGATTTGTTGTTCATATTGTTGCCATGAGTCATAGTTGACTCGACAGCATACAGCAACAACAATGACAACAAATATATATATATATATATATATATATATATATATATATATATATATATATATAATCTCCACACTATGAACAACAGATCTGAATGAAGTCTAAGGATGTTCATAGAGTTTTCAAGGGCCTGTTATCAGAAGTGAGTGGCCAGTCCTTCTTTCTACTCTGTCTTAATTTGGGACTGTCTTAATTCGGGAACACCTCTGTAGTACAGTATCTGACACACAAGTGTTGCACCCAAAAGAGCAGATGATATAACTCATACCACACAGAAGATCCTGGATGAGATGAATTGAAAGAGTGACTGCAGCAATGGGGGTTAAGGGTGTCAGAGACAGTGAAGTTAGGTCAGGATAAGTCAAGGTTCAAGGCCATTGTTCGTAGGGTTACTAGGAGTCGTTGTTGACTCAATGGGACATAACAACATATCTATCAACTGTTTATATGGAACTCTTTTTTTTTTAAATTGTATTTTATTATTTTTGTGTGAGTATACCGTCAAATCAGATCTGACTGGTACAGGAGGAGGTTGTCCCTCCTTCCCCGGCAGAGCATCTGGTGGATTTGAACCATGCACCTCTGGGATTGTAGTTGCAGCTCCTTGCCACTAGGCCACCGGAGCTCCCACCATATAAATGGAACTCTTATAGCCTAGTGGTTGAGAGTTGCACTGCTAACCCGAAGGCATACAGTTTGAATACCACAGTTGCTCTGAGTGAGAGACAGACAATCTCTTTCTGTACTATTTACAGCCTCTGACAATCCTCTGGAAGGTCAGTTATGCATCAGTTTTGACTCAAAGGCACGTGACGACAAGGAGAGGGACTTGTTCTTGCAGAAGGACATCATGTGTGAAAGGGTGGAGGGACAACACAGGAGAGGAAGGCCTCAGATGAGATGGATTGATAGAGTAACTGGGGTAAGGAGGGTAGGTGTGTTGGAGTCTGTGAGACTGGCTCAGGATAGAGCAGGCTTCAGAGCTGTCGTACATAGGGTCGCTACGAGTCACAGGTGACTTGAACACATGTAACAATAACAGCATAACAACAATAGCAACATAATGACAATGACAACACTATAGCTCTATATTTACATCTGTCTATATTCTACTTTGTTTAGAGCTTTATTTATTTTATAAAACTGTGTCAAAGGACATTTAAGAAATTAGATTTCATTAAATTCTACTTGAAGGTAAATTTTATTCCTCTGGTCAGACTTTTGAACTCTTGTGGGAGAGCAAATATGGAAGATGGAGTTTAAAGAGAGAGTGGCGCATAGAGAAGTGTA